TTGTAACTTATTTGAAATTGATAAATTTAATTTTATAATTTGTAACTTCAAGATAAATACTTGTAAAAATTATTCTGTAATTGAATTAATAAAATAATAAATATTGGAAATATTAAATAAAAGTTATATTAAATAATAAATATATAGTTAATAAAGGAATAATAAATATTATGAAATTAAATACTTGATTGTATAATTGTATAATTTTATTATTTCTGAGTTAATGAAATTAATTATAAACTATTATTATAAACCCTGAACTTGGAATAATGATTAACCTGAATAATTGAAAATAATATTCAAAAGATATTGGAATAAATTAAATGAAAGATCTGATTTCCTTTCTAAAATAATTGAATCAGTGGTGCCTTCTAAATAATGAAACAACAGTCTTACCTTTGGAGAAAGACTATAAACTTCTTAAAAGAACTGTTAAATTACTTTACTGGTTTGTCCTCAAGAGACTCAGGAACCACCAGTGACAACATGGTGATAAATATGTTATCCTTGATAAACCTAATCTAGAGGTGAAAATAATTCTGATAATACTGAATAAGTGGTTCATATTTTTCAATTCATATAACCTGTTTGTGAATCTTATATATAATACTTTAAAAAATCAATTGTTAATTATTATAATATAAATTTCTTTTTTAGATCAGAATACCAATTGATATTCTAAATTACAGAAAGATTATTGACTATGCATTTAACTAGAGTTAATCTATTGACCATATGAATTGATTCTGGTACACTAGTTACTATATACATGTCAAAAAGTAAAAAGTTTTAAATTAATTTCAATTTTTTCAATTTTTTATTACATCTGACTTAATAAATACATTAATTTACTATGTAAAAATAAAAATTTGACTTGACTTGACTTCAATTTTAATTGCATTCAACTCAATTCAATAGTTTTGGTAACATGTATAAGCCACTAGACTATGCCAAGTTCAAATTAACTTTATAAAAAAATGATATTATATCTTTTAAAAATCTTATTTGAAAATTTTTTTTTGTTATAGAGGTTAAAAACCTATGAACAAATAAAGTTTTTAACAAATGTTGAATAATCAAAATCAATAAAAATTTGATGCAAATTGGCTTAGCTTATTTACATATTATCCACAAATCTTGCATATCATTCACAAATCTCCTCTTCCTACCTATTTGTAACTGGTTTTCTTTATTTAACCAGTACAAGTTAATATAGCAAAAATTAAATATGAGTATTTTCATATTTTTTGAACTCAACTTAGTTACCTGAAATTGATTTATTTTAACAAAAAATATTAGAAATAAAAAGATTCAATTTTTTTTTATGCAAGCTCAAATTTAAATGGGAAATCTTAACCTAGATACGGGGTTTAGGCTCCAAGAACTCTCACGTGGCTGTAATTAGAAATGGTGGTCTAGGTTAACTCAAAAACGTAACTTTTGCAGCCGGAATATTAATTTTTATTATTATCTGAACTTTGAAATAATAACTCCGCTATTACTTTATTTTAATCGGAAGAAAACGATGGAGTTATGCTATGCTGACTCTGGACAACCACAAACAACGAACATTATACCAACCAAATCTGAGAAAATTGAAGTTCCGCTTACTAATCTTGCGGCTTCCGTATGTCGTCATTAATATTTTATTTTATTTTTTTTTTATATATAATTCTTAAATTGTGCTTTTTTTTTATTGTAAATGATAAGCAAGAGATTTCTGTACCAGCAAAAAAAGAATCTTCCCCATTTCAAAACTTAACAACAAACATGCCTCCGCAAAGTTCTCTTACACTATCGAATGGAGATGCGGACCGAAATCGTGAACGCAGAGGTGGCACCTCTAGACACCGTCATTCTATCTCTCGTAGTAAAACACGTAGTCGAAGTCCAAGGCGATCTCGTACCTCTAGAAAGCACAGACGTCGTTCACTCTCTCGAAGTTCTTCAAGCAGAAGCCGCTCTCGAGAATATAAGAGTGATAGGAGGAAGAGGTGAAAATAGTTATTATTTTCAGGTTATTTTCATGTATTTTATTAAACTATTAATCTAATAAAGGATCATTTTGATTTCTTTAGGTCTAGAAGCCCTATCCGAAGTCGCGATAGAAGTCGAGGAAGGAGGAGAATTAGTCGTAGAGATGTAATTATTCATTAAAATTTTTATTTTATTTTAATTTATAATAAATTTAATATAATTTTCAAAATATTATATCCATCAGGAACCTGATCCTAGTCATGTATTGGGAGTTTTTAATCTAAGTCTTAGGACTACAGAAAAAGATTTACAAGCTATCTTTGAACGTTATGGACGGGTTAATCAAGTTACTATTGTTTATGATCATCGGGTACTTTATTTTACAATTTGTTCCTACGATTATTTGTTCAAACAATTACTTTATTATTAATTACCGAATCTATTTATATTATAGAGTGATCGTTCCCGTGGTTTTGGGTTTGTCTACATGAATTCAGTTGAAGAGGCATCCATTGCTAAAGACAAAACGAACGGGATGGTATATTGAATTACCTTTTTGTTATTATCTTATTTTATCTTAATGTGTGAAATAATTAATTAAGAATTGAAATAATCACCTTCTGTTATTAGGAAGTTAATGGTAGAAACATGCGTGTAGATTATTCTTTAACTCAGAGACCGCATACACCTACTCCTGGTGAATATATGGGTGATAGGCCTTCGCGTTATCGTGGTAACACTTATCGTCGATCTCCTTCCTTCAATTCACCACCACCTCGTTATAGAAGGAGAAGTCTTTCGCGTTCTCGGAGTCGAAGTTGGTCAAGAGGACGAAGAAGATCCCGCAGCCTTAGTCATTCGCGTAAAAGAAGGTCGCATAGCAGAAGATCTCATTCTTAACATGTTAGTTACAAAGGCATTCATAATTCTAAGAAATAAATAATATGTTTTATAATTATATATTGAAAAATAATTTAACTTCATTCGTTTTAGTGATCAGATTTTATGATCAGCATATATTTTTCAAGTATTTGCGTTCTTTATTGTGGAATAGTATTGCAATGTTTCCACTTTCTTTAGAGCCTCAGGGAACTCATGGAATGCGAAAATCAAGAACTTCGAAAAAGAAACGAACCTGCATAAGAAGAGAAAAACTTCAAGTACATTGATAAATAACCACCTGTATAAATTTCAAGTCCCAACAAGATGTCAAATGCTTCGTTTTTTAGGAATAGGTGAAAGTTTCGGATTTCTTTGCTAAATTATCTTTATTATTGCTATTTGTTTGTTTTTTGTTCCTTTTCCTTTTTTTTTTTTCTCTCTTGATTTTCGTTACAAGTAGGTATTGAAATAAATCAAAAAAATTTAAGATTAATGTAGTACTACCTGATTTATAAATTTTCACATGTTAATTTCAAAACTTGGGTAACTACGTTTCAGACATTGAAATATGCAAGTTCGTATAATGAAGATTAATTTCAACATTGAAGGCCTTCCATTGGAAGAATAAGAAACCAAGAAGGAAGGAAAAATATATAAGAAGGACTTCAACCGTTCTAGGTCCACCACATAAGAATTCAATACCAAAAAGTTTAATACTGAACAAAATGAATTATACTTGGCGTCCACAATGAAACCTTCTTGAAACCTTCTTGAATGAAACAAACAGAAGACTCATGATGAAGACATGAAATGAAATAACTTGAAGGTTCTAAAGAAATTTCTGAAGTTCCGTCAGAACTGGATCAGAAAAGTAACATCAAATAATTTGTATCAAATAAGAATCCTGAAAAAGAATTATCCCAAAAATGTTTGATACTGTAAAAAGAAATATGATTTAAGGTGTCCCTGTTAATTTTTTTTTTTTTTGCGAATACGAAAACACAAAAAATAATCGAATCGCGAAATCTAAAATTAAATGGACAAAAAAATAAGGAAAAAAAAATAGTCGACATACAGAATATATTATCACCGATTGCAAAGTGTATTGCCTTTTAAACCAAGGAATTGGTAATTTGAAGTCGAGAAATGTTAGATGATGTTACGTACCCCGTGACAAATAAAATAATTTTACAAAATCTGTAAATCACTTAAATTAATATTTTGCTTTTAAAAATTTTAGGTATTTCTATTTCACGCAATAAATTTGAAAAAAGAAAAAAAAAAAAGAACGAAGGTAATACAGTTTTGAAGAATATGTATGTGCGATTAATTTCATTGGATTGAGAAACGCATTATAGAATTATGAAAATAATAGAAATAATTAAATATATATATAAAAGAAAAGTAGTAAATTCTATTGACATTAAATGTTTTCTAAATGAAAGAAATTATTCTACAGTTTTTTTTTTCCTTTTAAAAGATTAGTCAAATATTATAATATTATAATTATGAAAATTATTATAAATATTATAAATATGATAATTATTGTAATTCAAATTAAAAGTAGACATTAATTTAGTAAAGGTAAAAAAATATATATATTAGGTCCTCAAATATAAAATAATAATCTATTACAAAAAAAAAATATACAAAAGAATTTTTTAGGATGAACCCTTTTGTCCAATGGAAACATTTGTATGATTCATTTCGTTTGCAGAATTTGCTTCACGTACACTATGACTTGAAGCAGACATTGGTAAATAAGAATTTTGTTTATTAGACCTTTGTGGGGCTGATTTTGAAACCGAGTAAACGATTCCAGCGAAAAAACCTAAAATAATAATAATAATAATAAAATTAAAAAAAATAAATAAATAATAATAAAACTAAGAATAAATAACATAAATTTCGAATATATTTACCAACGATGATGGCTGAAACATTTCCGAAATTAATTGGATCACCAAAGAAAATCATCCCACTAGCGGCAACGGGTAATTTATTTAATGCTCCTACCATACTATAAGTTGTACTAGAAGTAACTCTAACGCACCAAGCAGAAGTATATGATATAGCAAATGCTGATATTCCTGAGAACAATATGGCTGTTATTAAGGTTTGTCTAATTTCTATTGGACTGTTTTATAAAGTAAATATTATGAATAAATATTTTCAAAAAATTCAAAAAAAAAAAAAAATCATAAAAATTCATAAAAAATGCTTACAGATTTTTTTCAAAATTACTTGAGCTCCAGTCTTCAACAATGAAACTCATGACTAATAACAAAGGTATTGACAATAAATTATTATAATATACAGTATCAAAATCTTTAAATCCAGTGGATCTAATACGTTTCCTCATAATTAAAACAAAAGCTGCAGAGGAAAAACAATTAAGTCCCATCCATAGATAACCAACATCTAATGTATATGCGGTTGTTTCGGTAACCACTGATGTGATATCTGTCCAGGCTGCTATAATAGATGATAGAACCTTTCATAACAAAATAAATTAAAATAAATTAAAATTAAAATTAAAATTAAAATTAAAATTAAAATTAAAATTAAAATTAAAATTAAAATTAAAATTAAAATT